CGGGGTGGTGGCTGGGGAAGATGTGGGCAGGATGGGAGTAGTGGCTGCTGGAAGGAGAGCTGAACACAGGCAGTGGGGCTGGCCAAGGGAGAAGGGGGGGGAGAACTGGGTTGGGGAAAGTGGAGCTGGCCAGAGGCGCAGCAAGGGGAGCAGAGGGGAGGAATGAATCGGCCTGCAGGGCGTGGGACCGACCCGACCCCGTTCCCCCCTCCCCCGCCACCCACAAAGCACGAGTCAGTCCGGCACAGGGATTCTGCTGTCCGTCCGTCTGTCCTCCCCCCCACACACACCCCTCGAGTGGTTGCGAACTATCTGGCTGGTAGACACACTCATGCAGCCTGAGCACATTTACCAGCCAGGCAGTTTGAAACTACAAACTGATACATCTAGTAATAATACAACTTACCTACTGAGAAAATACCAGACATATTATATGTCTGGTATTTTGTCAGTTTATTTTTCATGTGTTTATATTTTTGGGCTGCAAAAAGCAGAACTTGAAAAAAAAGGGTTCCAATTAAAGTAAAAAGTTTGGGAAACCCTGGTCTAACCATCTTTCTGTCTGTCTTACAGCCCATTTATCCAATCCGTATTCCTTAACTTGCTGGCAAGAATATTGTGGGTGACCACATCAAAAGCTTTGCTAAAGCTGGCACTGGGAGATCTGGGAGGACCAGAAAAAATGTTTTTGCATATTCATCGTTTGATTAAGGAATATGTAAATATGCAAAGGAACATTACTGGTCCTCCAAAAGTTTGTGAATGTTTGGATTTACTGGTCCCCATGTCAAAAAGTTTGGGAACCCCCGATCTAGTCCAATATCCTGTCTTCTGACAGTGACCAATGCCAGGTGCCCCAGAGGGAGTGAACAGAACAGGGAATCATCAAGTGATCTCTCTCCCATCACCCATTCTCAGCCTTTGACAGAGGCTAGAGACCCCATTCCTACCCGCTACCGTGGCTAATCAATATTGATGGACCTAACTTCCATGTATTTAGCTGTACACTGCCAGAATTCTGAAAAGTGATTTTTTGGATTCTGTGGCTATTCTCTGATTTGAGTGGAAGAGACAAGTAAGAGTTCTGTTATGCAGGAAATGAAGTGTATAGTTTTAAAAGCGTCACAATTATCCTTGCCATGATTGATCCGGCCCCTATTTTGACATCTACATATTTCTGTACAGAATGATAAAACCTCCCCAAAAAGGAGGATAGATGAAAATGGTAAGAAGAGGAACAGCAAGTCATCATTTAGTGATGAAGACAAAGAAGGTGCAATGAAACAGGCTCTGCTAGAACAGGTAATTCCAGCATGATATTTGCAGATAACTTAAACTACCATGTGTAATAATTCCATAGAGTTAAAATATTTGGAGGCCAGAAGCCAAAGAGCTCTCCCTTGTTATCCACATGGCCTGATGTCTTCTCTGGTGGTTGTGCTCATTCATTTCTTTGGCTGATAAGGGATCTGATGCTGATGTCAATAATGCCCATCTTGCCTTTATGTTGTTCCATTAATTTCAGGGGTATTGGATTAGTCTGTCCCCGCAATACACAAGGTTCGAAAGGGATGCCGGAAACAGTGAGACCACGACTTGGGGTTATTACCAATGTACTTCAAATTGCTTTTACAAAGGATAGATTTTTAGCAGCGTGCAGATAAACCAGGGAGTAAAGTTTATTAGCTATTCGTAAACTCTTTGGGTGCATTTACAGGAATTTCAAAATAACCGACGTTATTTCGAAATAACAATGTGCGCATCTGCATAGCAATTCCATTATTTTGAAATAATTTCAAAATAACGGATGGCTTATTTAAAAAACTGTAAATCTCATTCCATGAATAACGCTTATTTTGGAATAGTCGTAGTGTGGACACTAGCTATTGTGGGTTGTTGCATCATAACACTACACAGTTATGATGCTATGCCATGTTCTTTGAGTACTTGGCAATCCAAACACACCTCTGTTGTCATGATCCAAACCAGTTCATACAGAAAAGAAGGAATCCTTAATTACTTAGTGGCACTTGAGGAAAACACACAGCTCTACTGAAAATGCATTTGGGGCCTTGCAGTTTACTGAATCTTGGATCACAGAAAATTTTCTGCTGTGGTGAGAGTAAAATGAATGATGAGATACTCCTCTTAGTCCAGTGGAAGCCTGGAATTATTGAACCAGACCATAGTCAACAGCACCATCTGCAGGGAACTTACTACAATGCATTAACCTGAGATTATTTATAGTATATTTGTAAATATACAGAATGTCATCAATATAATAGTGGCTTGTTTATTGGCACTTCGAATGCCAAGAGAAGAGAACAAAATCATTCATGCTTATATTCCTTCTAACTTACAATTAAGAACAGCAGGTCATATAAGTTAGAGAAAGAGAAGACCTGATAGGTTCACCTGTCCCCAAACTAATGGCATCTATTGTTCTCAGTGGTATTGCACTTGTTTTAGCTCAGAGACTAAAGAACATACTTTCTGTGTTGATCTTCCTAACTTGTCGAATTTGTTTGAACTTTGGTTCATGGGGAAAGCTCAGGTTAAAAATCAAAACTGTAAAAAAAAAAAAAATTTCCTAAACAAAAAATTTGATTCCTGCACAGCTCTAGAAATGAGCCTACATTCTGATGAGGAAAGTCCATGCTTGTTTTGGAAATGGAAATTATTGTAAAGGTGGTAAGAAAATACACATTTAACAAAACATTTGAATGGATTTTTTTTTCAGCGCTATCTTGAAAACTACAAGAATCTATACAGGCTGAGAAATGCCTTGTATGTGCGTTACAGGGATTTATTGAATAAGAAAGTTCAAAAGCAGCGAATTCAGATCCAAATGTCTGATCTCCGCTTCAAGCAAAATCTTGAACAGCAAGGAAAAAGAAAGGTATGCCTTTTTATTTTGAGGGAAAAGGGGAATTTGCCTCCTGAAAATAAACATAAGGAAATGTTTAGAAAGAAACGGAAGGCTTGACTAGAAAATTTAAGGAACTTTTTCCATACCCTTGTGAAGTTTGTATGAGTTGTCTTTTTTTTTTCTTTTTTAATCAATATGCAGGGTTTATGTGGATTGGTCTTGGCATTAACAGGCCATTAAGTCTAACTTCAGTATTGGGCAAATTGGTTGAAACTAGTAAACAACAGATTTGTCAGACGCATAGATGAACATAATTTGTTGAGGGTAAAGTCAACATGGTTTTTAATATCTTAAAGTCTAATCTGTTTCTATGAATCTTTTTATGGGATATCTGAGTTAAACATCTGTTCATAACTTCACTTTTGAAAAGAAGTCTGAATAAAAATCTCTCTTCCTTTGTATTGGGTTTTATTTGCTTGCTGCCTATGATAGTAAGCCACTCATTGTCCATTGAGCCTTCTTGGGGAAACCATGATAAATATGAACTGAATTTCTGGAAAACAGATGTAGGAGGAGAAAAAAAATCTTAAGCCTCAATATAATGTATCCCCAGCCTTTGAATCCTATGTTTATACACCATAAAGGAGCAAAAAGACAGATGCAAGAGGCTGTCAGTAACTGTAATACTCCACCCCGTTATATGCAGTTGGGTGGAAACATCAAGGCTGTGTCTAGACTCAGGGTTTTTTTTCGAAAAAAAGTAGCCTTTCTTCGAAAAAACCTCACCTGCGTCTAGACTGCAGCTGCGTTCTTTCGAAATTAAATCGAAAGAACGCGGCTTTTCTTTCGATGGCGGTAAACCTCATTTCACGAGGAAGAACACCTTCTTTCGAAAGTTCCTCTTTCGAAAGAAGGCGTTCTTCAATGTAAATAGGGCTTCTTCACAATGAAGTCACCAAGAACCTGTATTGTTGCCAGTGAGACAAGGATGAATTTCAACAACCATGTACTATTACGAAAACATTCTAGAGAATGAAGAGACTAAGGTTTTACAGGATTTGGTAGTTGCCGTAGACTGAACAGTGCAGGAAAGCGGAGTAGACGTAGGTGGTGTAGAAAGAAGGTGAACAAAACCATGGTACGCTACATTGCCCTACTAGCAGATAAAAACAGGAAACAGAGAAGATAGCAAACTATGAAGCAGGGATGTAAGAATTTAACTGGTTAACTGATAAGCATCGGCATAAGCTCTTCTGCTAGTGAGTGACAGTTCCTGGCCGCTGGCCCACACTGCAGGCTCTACAGTATAAGGTTTATATTGCAGAGCCCACAGTGCCGGCTCCCGGGGAGCAGGGCAGGCAGCCAGTGCACGCTAGGAGCTGGCTTATCAGTGCCTTTCACCTCTTGACCTACTCCAAGGGAGCTGGCTGCCGCCCCGCACTTCAGGCTCTGCAGTATCAGAGGCTGAAGCAATGAAGCAACATCTTGTTCCCCAGGAGTGTGGCTGGGAGCTGGTGCCCATACTATAAGCCAGCTTCCATTGTGCACTGGCTCCAGCTGGTGGCCCTCTGCGGGCTCAGTTGTATAAGCATTATACAGCAGAGTCTGAATCTGCAGTGCAGGCTGGCAGCTGGCGAGCGCCCATAGAAAAGATTATGCTGCAGATTTTTAATGGTTACATAGTGACTTTATTTATGAGTTTTTTACATCCCTACTATGAAGAACTCTCACAATGTAGAATGCATATGGAAAACTAGAACAAAGGCAGTCCCATTGATTATCGAAGCACTCACAAGGATCACTAAAAGTGCTCTCGAGCTGTTTATTCACTCATCTTTCATCATGATCAATGACCTCCAGAAGACAGTGTCTTTAGTCATTGTGACTATTTGAAAGCCAAGGGAGTAAAAGTGCAATTGAGCACATAAAATGTGGGAGTTTTGTGGAGAGTTTGACGCAACTTCTGACATCCCAAACCTACAGTGAGTCTGTGCTCTGGATCTATTGGTAACTCCAGGGGATACATTTTAGATAGCAGTTTATCTATGTTTGAAAGGTCTTGTATGTTGCAAAGACTAAAAAAACCAAGTCCTCAGGATGTAATACTAAGTGATAATAAACATTAATAACCTAAGAAATCCAGACACCAGGAAGAGTGGTCATTTTGGTCTCTCATTTGTGGACTGCATTTTGAAAAAAGTTTTTAAAAAACCCCCACCTACTTATGCCATACAAAGCCAATTGTTTACTTTTGCAGATAAATGTTGTCCCTAGCCTTTAACAGGTGCATGAAGTTGTCTCCTATATCCTTGCTTAGCACCTAATTAAATGGCCTGTGTTTCAAAAGTGAAGACCCCAGAGCTTCTATTCAATTCAAATGAGTTATGCTAGCAGAGATTGTGCTGTGTGTTTTGTTAATGTAAGTTTTGCCATATCCTTAAGTATTCTTGTCTTTGCTTTTAAACACTTGAGTTTGTAAATGTTGAGAGCTAAATAAATTCTTGTCAGTTAGCAAGTTTAGCTAGACTTGGCAACATAATTCTGCCTAGCTTCACTGCGCAGATACCACAACTGGCCCACAGAACTCAGTTTCTATAGATTGCTGCTCCCCAAATGTGGATCCTGGTCATTTGTAACCCATCCATCATTAATGAAAGTGTCTTTCCTGGAGTATGTTTCTGCCATGCATTGGCCATGCGTTACAGTGCTTGTAAATCGATGAGAGGTTTTTAGGGGGACTTGTATTCCTTTCCTGATTTAAAAAAAAAAAGTACTCTTCTCCTGAATCTTCACTGCTGAGCATGTTATGCTCCCTGTAAGCACTAGAGAACACTGCTACCTTGAATAAAAGACCACAGTTTATTTCTAAAGGCTGCAAGTCAAGCTGCGAAAGTGAAATTTTGGGTCTCAAGTGAGTTCAGGATCTTGGTAATCTCTAGAAGTTACACAGGTCAGAAGAATTGTAAAAGGAACACTCTAGCACTGCTATTTATCCTCCACTGGTCGAAAATACGGAGGACTCCAGTACTTGTGAATATTTGATATTTTGATCTTGGGAATTAATTGTCCATGGTTGGATGACACATACTGGTGAATAGTGATAGAAATGTAGCCGTGTTAGTCTGGTGTAGCTGGAACAAAAAACAGGACTATGTAGCACTTTAAAGACTAACAAGATGGTTTATTAGGTGATGAGCTTTCGTGGGCCAGACCCACTTCCTCAGATCAAATAGTGGAAGAAAATTGTCACAACCATATATACCAAAGGATACGATTAAAAAAAATGAATACATATGAAAAGGACAAATCAAATTTCAGAAGTGGTGTGTCATCACCTACAACCCCCAACTTAAACCTGTCCAACACATTATCAATAAACTACAGCCTATACTGGAACAGGATACTAAACTCTGAGAGGCTCTGGGAGACAGACCCATAGTCTCCTATAGACAACCACCTAACCTCAAGATGATTCTTACCACCTCCCTGGGCGTTAGAGCCCAAACTCCAACCAGAGCCCAAATGCTTCCACAGCTCTTTTTAGTGCTGTCGTGCCGGCTTGGGTCTGCAGGACCGAGCTCTGAGATGCACTGTTCAGGGTTATTAAACAGCGTGGATGTACCTACTGCTTTTGTTGGGAGGGGTTCCATGGTTTTGTTGTTTCACGTGTTGCAACATGTGATGTGAAAGCTGTGTTGTGGTGGCAATGCACCTGGCAGGGGGACTGCCTCTTGTTTTGAGTTTGCACAACCCAGCATAGTGAACTTCTGTCTTAGGATTGGGATCCCTGGGGCACCACTGCAATAAAATACAGTTCTGAATAATTTTCAGAATTATTCAACTACACTAGCAGGATGTAGGATGAGTGAAAGTAGGAATGCAAAATATTGAAACCAAGTGACGATACTATGCTAGGAAATAGTGTTTTGTTGCCGCAAGTGAATATGTTGCATTATGTCTGCATAGGGTCCCCAACAAGTTGAAATTCAAAAGAGTCAGGAGCAGTGAGTTCTTCTCTTGACTCCATCTTCCTTCCTAGTAACTGCATGATCACAAAATTCACTAGATGGCACTTATGTTCATTTGGTTTTAACAGATAAAAACCGTGTGTGCAGCATATATATTTTTTCAAGGTTATCGGGAGACGATAAAACAGGCATGTTAATTAAACTTGCAGTCATTCTTATATAGGAGTACATGACACTGTTGTAGAAATATTCTGAGCAACTTACACTATTTCATCAGATGCTTTAGATTTTCCTGTAATAGGTAATACTGACTGTGCTAGTGTTCTTGGGCACAGTGCCATGGACTTCTGTGAAGTTTTGCCATGATACTCCAGAAACTTGGATCCTGTTTTTATTTCCTTCCTTCGACCTCAGCACTTGCTGCATGCCTATGCCCATATTGATTTTCCACACTCTATAAGAACTTGCTTGCTTTAATTTCTTCACATTGTATATTAAGGGAAAATCGCCTTTTTAGTGTCCCAAAAGCTAGAAATAAAATGAAAATGAAATAGAGCTACTTGGAGGAAACTCCCTTCCATCTGTTTGATTCTGCCCCCCAAAAATACCAACAAGTTTTTGGAGTTTCATTTTTTTTGAAAAAAGCTTAATAGATAATTTCATGGGAAATGCCTTTTGCTTAGTCAAAAACCACATATTATCCATTAAACAGTGGCAATGGACAGTTGTCAACCATCCCTACAATAAAGTCTTAAAGGCAAATAAAATGCAAGTACAACTGGAACGTGAGCTTGTACTCCCATGGGATATTGCAATCCCGTCTCCCTATGCTTCCTGTTTTAACACATGGGTGACCTGCTACTTGTATACAAGCCATACTCAATAGAAATCAAGATGATTTTTGTGTGTTCACTTCTAAAAAAAAATGTTGTAAGAAGAGTCTTGGTGCCTTAGATCTGCCAGATAATATAATGAAAAGTAGGCGTGAACTTCATTGCTACATTTTTTTCTTTATTTGAAATGGAGTTTTATGAAATGCATTCTCTCACTTAGCAGGGAAGG